AGAGACCAGAGAGAGACCAGAGAGAGACCAGAGAGAGAGACCAGAGAGAGACCAGAGAGAGACCAGAGAGAGACCAGAGAGAGAGACCAGAGAGAGAGAGACCAGAGAGAGATTCGAGAGAGACCAGAGAGAGATTCGAGAGAGACCAGAGAGAGATTCGAGAGAGACCAGAGAGAGAGACCAGAGAGAGAGACCAGAGAGAGAGACCAGAGAGAGACCAGAGAGAGAGACCAGAGAGAGAGACCAGAGAGAGAGACCAGAGAGAGAGACCAGAGAGAGACCAGAGAGAGACCAGAGAGAGACCAGAGAGAGACCAGAGAGAGACCAGAGAGAGAGACCAGAGAGAGAGACCAGAGAGAGATCCGAGAGAGACCAGAGAGAGACCAGAGAGAGACCAGAGAGAAACCAGAGAGAGAGACCAGAGAGAGACAAGAGAGAGACCAGAGAAAGACCAGAGAGAGAGACCAGAGAGACCAGAGAGAGACCAGAGAGAGACCAGAGAGACCAGAGAAAGAGACCAGAGAGACCAGAGAGAGACCAGAGAGAGACCAGAGAGAGACCAGAGAGAGAGACCAGAGAGAGACCAGAGAGAGACCAGAGAGAGAGACCAGAGAGAGACCAGAGAGAGACCAGAGAGAGACCAGAGAGAGACCAGAGAGAGACCAGAGAGAGAGACCAGAGAGAGACCAGAGAGAGAGACCAGAGAGAGACCAGAGAGAGATCCGAGAGAGACCAGAGAGAGACCAGAGAGAGAGACCAGAGAGACCAGAGAGAGACCAGAGAGAGACCAGAGAGACCAGAGAAAGAGACCAGAGAGACCAGAGAGAGACCAGAGAGAGACCAGAGAGAGAGACCAGAGAGAGACCAGAGAGAGACCAGAGAGAGAGACCAGAGAGAGACCAGAGAGAGACCAGAGAGAGACCAGAGAGAGACCAGAGAGAGACCAGAGAGAGAGACCAGAGAGAGACCAGAGAGAGAGACCAGAGAGAGACCAGAGAGAGATCCGAGAGAGACCAGAGAGAGACCAGAGAGAGACCACGGTAGTCCTCTGAACTACTCACTGTGCTGCACACAAGCATCTGACTTTATATACAGTAAATGTAAGTGTCACATTAGTGTTTTATGATGTTGTTGAAACACACGGTGTTGGAGCGAGGACCAGTGTAATCCTGGTTATATAAAGCACTTGCCTCGTCTTTAAATTGTCCTGCCGCCTCCAGACACTTGGTTGAACAAATGGAAACAGAGCAGAGGGCAGCTGTAATATTCACTCTGCTTGTTTCTCATTCAATGTAAATAATATTTGTAGGAGTTTCACACCGTTATGTGAGTATATAAAAGAAATGATGGATCTTTATGTGAGAAAACATGCCCTGAACATTAAATTAATAATGTGAGCAAGAGTAGGCCCCTCCCACCACCAACCACTCACACACCAGACTCATTCTAATGTGGGGGAAGTGTCTTGCCTAAGGACACAACCACAGTTTGGCACTTTACAGCCGTCCCACTAGTTAGTTAGTTCGATACTTCATTGATCCCTGCAGGAGAAGTTCAAGTGTCCAGTAGCAACAAAAACACATCCATCCACACAAACACAACAAATACATTGATCATTCTAAAAAGCTATCAGTAGAAATAATAAAAGAGCCTATGGCAGAGGTCTCCCATCACAGCACTAACCAGGCCCTGCCCTGCTTAGCTTCACCAGTCTGACTGTGTTCTCCAGAGGCATCACTGGAGCTAGTTATTCACAGAGAGAAGGAATGGATTAAACTGAAGAATAACCGTCCAGATTAGGATTGGTGATTTACAGGCAGAGGGGGAGAGGGGGAGAGGGGGAGAGGGGGAGAGGGAGAGAGGGAGAGAGGGGGAGAGGGAGAGAGGGAGAGAGGGGGAGAGGGTGAGAGGGGGAGAGGCAGAGGGGGAGAGGGGGAGAGGGGAGAGGGAGAGAGGGGGAGAGGGAGAGAGGGGGAGAGGGTGAGAGGGGGAGAGGCAGAGGGGGAGAGGGTGAGAGGGGGAGAGGGGGAGAGGGTGAGAAGGGGAGAGGGGAGAGGGGAGAGGGGGAGAGGGTGAGAGGGGGAGAGGGGGAGAGGGTGAGAGGGGGAGGGGGGAGAGGGGGAGAGGGGAGAGAGGGGGAGAGGGGAGAGGGTGAGAGGGGGAGAGGAGGAGAGGGGAGAGGGAGAGAGGGAGAGAGGGGAGAGGTGAGAGGGTGAGAGGGAGAGAGGGGGAGAGAGCGAGAGGGCGAGAGGGAGAGAGGGAGAGGGGGAGAGGCAGAGGGGGAGGGGGAGAGGGGGAGAGGGTGAGAAGGGGAGAGGGTGAGAGGGGAGAGGGGGAGAGGGTGAGAGGGGGAGAGGGTGAGAGGGGGAGAGGGGGAGAGGGTGAGAGGGTGAGAGGAGGAGAGGGGGAGAGGGAGAGAGGGAGAGAGGGAGAGAGGGTGAGAGGGTGAGAGGGTGAGAGGGGGAGAGGGCGAGAGGGTGAGAGGGAGAGAGGGAGAGAGGGGGAGAGGGGGAGAGGGTGAGAGGGGGAGAGGGAGAGAGGGAGAGAGGGGGAGAGGGTGAGAGGGGGAGAGGGAGAGAGGGGGAGAGAGCGAGAGGGTGAGAGGGAGAGAGGGTGAGAGGGGGAGAGGGAGAGAGGGGGAGAGGGTGAGAGGGAGAGAGGGGGAGAGAGCGAGAGGGCGAGAGGGGGAGAGGGTGAGAGGGGGAGAGGGTGAGAGGGGGAGAGGGGAGAGAGGGAGAGGGGAGAGGGGAGAGGGGGAGAGGCAGAGGGGGGAGGGGGAGAGGGGGAGAGGGGAGAGGGGGAGAGGGTGAGAAGGGGAGAGGGTGAGAGGGGAGAGGGGAGAGGGGGAGAGGGGGAGAGAGAGGGCGAGAGGGGAGAGGGGGAGAGGGTGAGAGGGGGAGGGGAGAGGGGAGAGGGTGAGAGGGGAGAGGGGGAGAGAGGGAGAGAGGGGGAGAGGGTGAGAGGGGAGGGGGAGAGGGGAGAGGGGTGAGAGGGGGAGAGGGTGAGAGGGGGAGAGGGTGAGAGGGGGAGAGGGGGAGAGGGAAGGGGAGAGGGTAAGAGGGTGAGAAGGGGAGAGGGTGAGAGGGGAGAGGGGGAGAGGGTGAGAGGGGGAGAGGGAGAGAGGGGAGAGGGGGGAGGGGGTGAGGGGGGAGAGGGGGAGAGGGGAGAGAGGGGGAGAGCGAGAGGGGGAGAGGGGAGAGGGTGAGAGGGAGAGAGGGGAGAGGGGGTGATGAGGGAGGGGGAGAGGGGGAGAGAGGGGTGAGAGGGGGAGGGGGAGAGGGGAGGGGTGAGAGAGAGGGAGGGGGTGTGGGGAGAGGGGGAGAGGGAGAGAGGGGAGAGGGGGAGAGGGGAGAGGTGAGAGGGGGAGAGGGGGAGAGGGGGAGAGAGGGTGAGAGGGGGAGAGGCGAGAGGGAGAGGGTGAGAGGTGAGAGGGTGAGAGGGGGAGAGGGGGAGAGAGCGAGAGGGCGAGAGGGTGAGAGGGGAGAGAGGGGAGAGAGCGAGAGGGGGAGAGGGTGAGAGGGGGAGAGGCAGAGGGGGAGTGGGGGAGAGGGGGAGAGGGAGAGAGGAGGAGAGGGGGAGAGAGCGAGAGGGGGAGAGGGGGAGAGGCAGAGGGGGAGTGGGGGAGAGGGGTGAGAGGTGAGAGGGGGAGAGGGAGAGAGGGGAGAGAGGGGAGAGAGGGGAGAGGGCGAGAGGGGGAGAGGGAGAGAGAGGGAGAGAGGGGAGAGGGGGAGAGGGAGAGAGGGAGAGGGGGAGAGGCGAGGGCGAGGGGGGAGAGGGGGAGAGGGGTGAGGGGAGAGGGGGGAGAGGGGGAGAGGGCGATGAGGGGGAGAGGGGTGAGAGGGGGAGAGGGGGAGAGGGCGAGAGGGAGAGAGGGGTGAGAGGGGGTGAGAGCGAGGGAGAGGCAGAGGGGGAGAGGGGGAGAGGGGAGAGGGAGAGAGGGGGAGAGGGGAGAGAGAGCGAGAGGGGAGAGAGAGGGGCGAGAGGAGAGGGTAGAGGGGGAGAGTGGGAGGGTGAGAGGGGGAGAGAGGGTGAGAGGGTGAGGGGGGAGAGGGGGAGAGGGGGAGAGGGGGAGAGGGGGAGGAGGGTGAGAGGGTGAGAGGGGGAGAGGGGGAGAGGGGGAGAGGGGGAGAGGGGAGAGGGGGAGAGGGAGAGAGGGTGAGAGGGGTGAGAGGGATGAGGGGGAGAGAGGGAGAGGGAGAGAGGGAGAGAGGGGAGAGAGTGCGAGAGGGAGAGGGAGAGAGGGGGGAGAGGGGGAGAGGGAGAGAGGGGGAGAGGGAGAGAGGGAGAGAGGGGAGAGGGTGAGAGGGAGAGAGGGGGAGAGGGTGAGAGGGGAGAGGGAGAGAGGGAGAGAGGGGAGAGGCAGAGGGGGAGAGGGGGAGAGGGTGAGAGGGTGAGAGGGAGAGAGGGTGAGAGGGGGAGAGAGCGAGAGGGGGAGAGAGCGAGAGGGGGAGAGAGGGTGAGAGGGAGAGAGGGGGAGAGGGGAGAGGGGGGAGAGGGAGAGAGAGGGAGAGAGGGGGAGAGGGTGAGAGGGGGAGAGGGTGAGAGGGAGAGGGAGAGAGGAGAGAGGGGGAGAGGGTGAGAGGAGAGAGGGGAGAGGAGAGAGGGGAGAGGGGGGAGGGGGAGAGGGGGAGAGGGGGGAGAGGGAGAGAGGAGAGAGGGAGAGAGGGGAGAGGGAGAGAGAGGGAGAGAGGGGGAGAGGGAGAGAGGGGGAGAGGGAGAGAGAGGGGAGAGAGGGGAGAGAGGGGGAGAGGGGAGAGGGGAGAGGGGAGAGAGGGGGAGAGGGGAGAGAGGGGAGAGGGTGAGAGGGGGAGAGGGAGAGAGGGAGAGAGGGGGAGAGGGGGAGAGGGGGAGAGGGGAGA